AGGATATTTGTGCATGGCAAGACTGGAACTACACATGAATGTCATGCACAGCAGAAGCAAATTATTTGGAAACTGTTTCAGAGAAACTAGTACAACTGCACGTGTAATGGATTGTCCAGCCTTTGCATATCAACCAAAGAATGCCCACAAAGTCCAACATAAAAATAAGCCAAGTTCACTATATTTAACAAATTATGGAGCTACAGCAATTACAATTTTTCATTCAAATTCTCAATCATAAAATCCAATGCACCATCAACACTGAAATAAAAATATGAAATATATTTCTTATTGAAATGTGTCAACATACCACTTTCATAACCGCAACCTACCAATCACCAGCAGATTTTACTTTTCAAGCAATGACTAGAAGCCATTATATTTCAGTGGGCACAAAAGACCTATTTTCCAAACCTGTACACTCCTGACAATTTTACTACTACTAAAATTCAACTACAAAATCCCAATACTATTTTAAAAATTCTCATTACTACCAAAGGCAGCAATTAGCCATCCGTCTTCAAGTCATACTCACACTCATTACAAGGCCTCCACTTCTCATTCTTCCAGCATGTTGATCAGGAACATTCTGAACCAAAGGAAAGGACTTGAGCACATATGGAAACCACATGCAAATTTTTTTTATTTCCAACCAAATTTAACATAAAAAAAGAACAACCAAAAACATATCCACTTTCCTTGTAATATTTTCAATTATGGCCTACTCCTCTGTACAACATTGGCATTACATTAGACACTGATGGGCAACATTATCAGCACCTGACAAAAAATTATTGTAAGGGGGTGTTTTCCTAATCATTTAATGAATTTACTGAACAAAAAACACAAGTCTCTCATGCTGCACATATCTCAGATTATGATGTAAAAATAAGATTAAATATAAATAATTCATGTGGTATGCCTGTCTGTGCCCCACCCCCTGCAGGTCAGCATCATTGTGGCTACCATAAGGAGAGCAGGCTGCTTACTCATTTCCCCTTTTGTGAGGGAAACTGAGAAACAATTAAGAGGTTTAAATCAAGTCACAGTTGTAGCATTTGTTACACATTTTTACACATAATTCCATTACTGTCACTCGCACATAAAATCCAAAACACATTAATTTTGCAGCAAATTTTTTTTTGTTCACAGTCAGTATATGGCTCAAATGAATATTAAACACTGCACTGGCTATAGGATACATGTTTAAGACTTTTTCAACTATTAATGCTCACATAATTCAATGGCATGTAACTGCAGAGCACAAGATGGTTTGCTCACTTGTGTACCCAAATGTGCAACTTGATTGGGTATGAGTAATGAAGTATCACAAATGTCACTATTATGACTAATTTACTTTATCCACATCCCAAACAAGATGGTTGATATTTTCAGAGCTGTAGTCAATGTCGGAAGCTACTACTCTAATGGAAGCACATTTCATTGTTAACTAAAACCAATTTCAAGACTTCGTTCGATGTGTCGACCAATCCGTACAAATTGTGTACTTCCCACATCACATATTGCCAGCAGCTTGAAACCCCAAGTACGCGAGAGTGAGCCTGGAATTATCTCAAACTGGTTATACAGATACAGCTAAGACTTCAGAAATTGATCAGTAATGGACCATGTAACAAAACTTGAACATGAAGGCCTCTGTTGAAGCTGGGACATGCTAAACATGCCCGCAGCAAGAAAACCAGGGAAAAACAAAAAGCAGCCAGTCAAATGTATATTAACACTCCCCTTCCAGCCCTCAATAAGCCCTGGTAAAGAGCCCCTGCAACAAACTCATAAGCAACCCTAATTATCTACAATATGGGCATCAAGTAATAAAGTTTAAGTATCACACTTAAAAAAAACTGTGCTATATTGAAAGTTGTCTGAAAGTCAATTTGGTGCAATTCCACAATTCCTGTCTAAAACCAGACCCATTATGTTAGGTCAAATATTAATATTCCACATACCATACGTTATTGCTAGTTTTTTAAAATGTTAGTGTATAACCAGAATCAATACTGTGGTTAAGAACACTCGACAATATTCGTAATTCATGCTCAATGAAGTCACTGGTACAGGCAGTACACAAGATATTTCAAAATCATATAACCATACAAAAGTCAAAAAATGCAAAGAACACGTTTCCTATTTAATATACCAGAACACGGTTACTTTGCCATTATCTCCAATATCGGAATGATGGATGACATTCCACTCAAATATAAGGCAACTCATGAAAGTTAACCTGTAGCTATAGGAACAATAGTAACTGTCAAAATCCTGAATCCAAAGCAAATGAAAACCTGTGATACCTACCAACACAAATAAAATCCCATGTGTTGTCACTTTATAACTGAATCCAAAATTTTCAGGCAACTTCCAATATATCACAAAACCACACAAGAAATTGAAGTAGCTTGCACACATTAATGCTTTTGTTAACAGAATTAGAACCCAACTGTACTAGTTTACAAGCGCATGCCGAGCGTGATATGGGCTTGAGATGTGACTATGTTGGAATGACCGCATGTCTCACTATTATAGATACATATCACTACCAACTGTATGTGCATACGACTGTTGCCCATATCCCACCACCAACATGCAAATTCAGTACCATTCTTTCTTTCACTCTGCACCACTATTTGTTCCACTCTTTAATTCCCAACAAGGGTAAAGGGCAATACATTATTATGCTTAGGTAGCTATCTAACCTGTAATCTATACATATTTGTCAAAAATAAATTTGTTAGTTAATTCTGTACAATGAAGGGGAGGATGTCATTGCCAAAACACACACACATTATAAGATCATTCTCATACGATCAAGCACACTGTAACAAACTGTCAACCTGTAACCTTG